ACCTTTGCTGGCTGGGGAAGTGGTGCTCGGTGGGTGTAGGACTCCATTATCCCTTTGGTCTTGAACCTCTTTGTTCGTCCTCATTGTCTCTGTTGCTCGAATTGAACCTACTGTCCTCATTCTAGTGGCTGCTGTTACTTACCAAATCCTCCATGTTTCTTTTCCCTCCGGCCGTACATGTCGTCCCTTCCGATCCAATCCTCCCAGTTGATCTGCAGTGGGAGCGCAAGGTCGAATGTAACCCAGATCGTACCCGTAGACCTACCGCGTGCCCTACGCAAATTGAGCCTAAAGCGAAGGCAGATTGAGCCCCCACTGCGGTAGCACCGGCGCCTCGCATTCGGTTTGCAGAAAAGGGGGCGCAAGAAGAATCTATCAATGATGATGAACTGAGCCACACATGTCAACCCGACGACTGGTGAAGAGAAACCGAGATTTCGTGACGGATGATGGGCGAATACTTATACCTGGCGACATGCCAGACTATAGGGATGTTTTACTTGCCTTGGCATTGCTTCAGTGTTGATTATCGTCTCGAAACATATTGGCAATGTTACGCAATAACCTCTCTGTCTTGCTTGCAGCAATTCATGCCGCGTCTGCGGCGGCAACAACCAACGCATCATGTAAATGCGTAAGTAATCCATCCCAGCCCAACTCTTGAACCACGAAGACGCCCGCTAACACGACTCTCGATCCCAGGCACCAGGAGACGCCTGCTGGCCCTCCCCTTCAACATGGGACGCCTTCAACACCTCTATCTCGGGCAAACTCATCGCAACAAAACCCGTCGCCATCTCCTGCTACCCAGGCTCCGACTACAACCCCTCCGCCTGCGCCAGCGTGCAGCAGAACTGGTTCACCGGAAGCTGGCAGTCCGCCAACCCCGTCGGCCTCGACTACCCCCTGAACATAACCTGCCTTCCCCCCTCCTCGACCGCAACAAACTCCACGGCAATGGGATCCTGCAACCTGGGCACTAACCCGCCCTTCGCCGTGAACGTCACTAGCACAGACGACATCGTCGCGGCCCTCCGCTTCGCGCGGGAGAATAACCTGCGCGTGGTGGTCAAGAGCACCGGCCACGACGTCCTGGGCCGCAGCGACGGCCTGGGGGGATTGGAGATCTGGCTGCGCTACTTCCGCAACGGCATCGACTTCCAGCCGTCGTACGCCTCTTCAACTGGGTGTGATGCGGCCTCATGGACGGGGAGCGCGATGAAGTTGGGCGGTGCCTACATGTGGGGCGAGAGTTACGCCGCCGCGCGCGAGAACAACGTCGTCGTCGTTGGCGGCGGGAGCTCAACGGTCTGTAGTACCGGCGGGTGGATGCAGGGCGGTGGGCATGGGCCCGCGAGCCACACCTTCGGCCTCGGCGCGGACCAGGTTCTTGAGGCGGAGGTAGTGCTTGCGAACGGGACGCTGCTCACGGCGAACGCGTGCCAGAATCAAGACCTCTTTTATGCCATCCGTGGAGGAGGGCCGGGGACGTACGGGGTTGTGGTGTCGACTACGATCAAGGCGTACCCGCAGCTCAAGGCCACTGTTCAGAACCTGCAGATCGCAGCGAAAGACGGCGCGTCAAGAGACACTTTCCTCGACGCCCTGACGACGTTGTACACCTCCATCCCGGAGCTCGTCGAGGCGGGCTTCGCAGGGTACCCCCACTGGCAAGTCGACGGCCCCGCGCCCTCGTTCAACAACTTCACAACCGCCTACTCCCACGCCATCTACGCCTTCAACAAATCCCAAGACGAAGTCGAGGCGGCCGGCAAGTTCCTCCTCGACCGCATCAGCAACTTCAGCGACGTGCTCTTCGTCAACTCAAGCTACGTCAGCTACCCCGACTACTGGTCCTTCTTTGGCAACACCAGCGTCGACGACAACCCCGTCGGCCTCATGGCCGCCTCTGGCTCGCGCCTCCTCGACACCGCCGCCGTGAGCAACCGCACCGCCGTCCGCTCACTTCTCAACGTCTTAGCAGGCGCGCCGGGCGAATTCGTAACCAACGTAATCTCCCTCGTCTCCGGCGGGCAGGTCTGGAAAGACGGCAGCGACAAGTCGTCAGCCGTCCTCCCGGCGTGGCGGACGGCGGTACTGCACCAATCCGTCGCGCGCATCCTCAGCAACGACGTCAGCGCGGAGACGTGGGACGCGGTGCACCATGACGTCACGTACAATAAGATCGGGGCCATGAAGGCGTTGGCGCCCAGGATGGGGTCGTATATGAACGAGGGCGACGCGCTTGATCCGGACTGGAAGGCGAGCTTTTACGGGGAGAACTATGATAAGCTCTTGGGGATCAAGACTGTGTATGACCCCGAGTCGGTGTTTTATTGTCCCACGTGTGTGGGAAGCGACATGTGGGAGGCGGATGGTGCTGGGCGGCTTTGTCGAGCGTTGTGAGTGGTGGTTTGAGATAGAAGCGCTCTAATATAGTGTGGAATAAAACGCCTGCTAAATTTTGTGAATCAATATGGCTGTGCTTTTTGTGTACTTCGTATGTGTGAACTTACATTTCGATTGAGGGTGACTGCAATGAGCAGCAGGAGTCATGGCGACGACAGTGGACGACGACAGAGGACAATCCCATTGGCCAAGACGACGATGGCCAATACGATGACAACGGCCAATATGATGACAACAGCCAAGTAGACGATATTAGCCTAGACAATGTTGGCCAAGGAGACGACAACGGCTAAGTAGATAATATTAGCCCAGACGACAATGGCTAAAGAAAAGACAATGGCCAAAGAAACGTCAATGGCCGAAGAAACGACAATGGCCAACATGATATTGACCGATACGACCATGACGGCAACGACGGCCATAGTAGGGAAGACATTGGGACAATAATCTATTCTCCTTAAAGGAGACTTGGTAGTCGTGTCTGACGGCCTATAACTATAACAGCAGCAATTACATGTAATCCATCCGGCCTGTCCGTTGAAAACGAACAATAGGCATAGTCAAACCCGGGTATCCATACCAAACAATAGCAACCTAACGCCATACCGTCCCTTGATTTCACACCTGTTCCTGAGAGCCTAAGACCGTCCCTTGACCTTATGAGCCTCGAAGCCGTCCTCGTCCTTGCCGACGACGAACTTCTGACCATTTGGCGTTTCAACCTCAAGGCCGCCCTTGGCACTGACGGGAGACATCTCGTAGAGCCATCTGGCAAGAAGGTAACTTCCAGCGGCCCAGGTCCAAACGAGGATGCCAACGGAGCATGTGAAGAAGAGCGTGGGCACGAGAACGAGGAGGGCGACGCCGACCCAGAATAGAGCGAAGATGACGGCAGCACCAAGGGCGAAGACGAGGGTGGAGACGGCAAAGGTCGAGAAGACGATGATGGGCAGGGAGGAGAAGATGGCTTGGGCAACAATGAAGGCCTGGACAAAGTCAATTAGCGAGGTCATCCAATTGGAAGCCAGGTGGGCTTACGAAGAGGAGGGGTCGCTCCTGGGCGAAGTTGGAGACGTTGGAATAGGCTCTCTGTCTGGTGTCGAAGCTGACGACACGGTTTATCTGGCGCTGTCCATAATTGTAGACGCCGACGGCACTGTCCTTGGCAGTGGTCTTGATGTCGTTGTAGTCGGAGTGGGTGGCCATTTTCGGATTGCAGATGGGGGGCTTCTGATGCAAGTTCGTGGGGATATCAGGGGGTGTTGGAGATGTGACTGGGGTTTGTAGATCGGGATTCGGGTGTCTGGTCATTTATCAATCGAACAATCAAGGGATGACGGACGGCACTAGAGAGGACAAGGACAGAAGAGGGGTCGGGGGATGACGGGCGACGACGGGGGACGACGACGACGGACGACGGGGAAGGGAGACACTACAGAAGGCAGGTGCAGTGGGGGATGAGGTGATGCAGGTGCAAGTCAGCGGCTGAAAAGGAAGCTAAACGGAAAGAGCCCCCTCAGTGTCTCTGGAGGCAGGTGCAGTACTGCTGACGTTGTGGTGACTTCCTTCCTTCCGTCTGGGCTTGGTGCAGGAACGGACGGCGACGTGGACGGGAAGTCGCGTCCGGCCGGCGTTGGCGCGTCTGCAGGTCGCAATTTAGCTCCTTCGTGCCTGCAGTTTCCCCCCAGCTTAATTGGCATGGGCAGGCACTTTCCACTGCCACTTCCACCTCCACAGCCCACTTTCACCTCGGCAGGTGGTGCGAAAGCCACACCACAAACAGCAGCAGCGAGCAGCAGCCACAACCCTGCCTCCTGCTGTGATTGGATCCGGAGCTTGGGCCAGTTGCACCCGTGCGGATCTCAGGGAAGGTACCCACTAAAGTTCCCATTCCAGCAAGACACTACCTAGGTACGTACCTATCCGCGTACCTTCGGTCCTTCCCAGATCTCTCACGGCTCCCACCTCCTTCTCTCCCCAAAGGAGTCACGTGCTCGTATCGGCCGGCCCGGAACGGCAAGGTCGCCCAAGTCCGTGACATGGTCGAGAACCTACCTCTCCTCCTCCCCTTTTTCAACGGCTGTCAAGCAATTCCGTCATCTTTCTGATGTCGCGCCTTGCCCGTTGAGAGGGGTTGAAAGAAGCTCAGCAATCTGAAGGCTGATACGATACGGATCGCGCTCGGTCGACCTCGCTGCTGTTGTCGTGCATGCTGCAAGGCACATACATGGGTCCCGACCCGTAACACCAAGCTTGGAACACCACACTAGGAACGCAGCAGGACCCGGGTACCTCGTACCTCCACTTCACTCCTCGTCCTGATGCTCTTCCTCTCCACCACCAACACTACCACTACTTCCACAACCACCATTTGAGTACCACCTCGCGCTGTCGCGCATGCCATGCAGCCCGGCAGTATGAGAAGACGCCACAAGCTTGGGGATCAGATACCTTGGATCACCTCAGAGTCCAAGCGCCAAAACATTCCTTGAGACACACAAACATTCCGTCATTCGCGGATCGACCAGGAACACCTTCGTTCCTCATCCTCTCAACGTCCAGCCCTCTCACCACGCCCAAATGCCAGTGCCATGAACGGCGACTCCCCAGGGACAGACTCGCCCTCTCTCAAGGCGGAGGTCACCCGCCTCGAAAATGGAAATGGGAACGCGAACGGCGGGAAGCAGAAGACGGCGTCTGGCGTGCGCGGCACCCGCATCGGCCACAAGAAGTCGCGGAACGGCTGCCAGCAGTGTAAGAAGCGCCGAGTCAAGGTCAGTTCATGAGTGGGACCGGGGTCGGTCGGGGTCCTACCTAAGGTCGAAGGATGCCAAGTCCCGACACTAGATGGCCCAATTGCTTGCGAATGGGAGCTAACGGTTCTCAGTGCGACGAAGCCCGCCCGTGTCGGAACTGTGTCCGGCACGATGTCAAGTGCAGTCTGGTCCTGACTCCTTTTGCCCCGCAGCTTCCCGCTGTCACCGAGTCGCCCAAGCCGGCCCCGGAGGCGGCGAGCACTGCGACCCCCGGCAGCGTCGGTGAGGCTTCAACGAGCAGTCGCCCGGCCAGTCGGCGGGACAGGAACTCGCCTCAGCTATCGTTGTTGAAGGAGAAGCTTGCTGCCATGCAGGGGCTCCTGTCCGAGTTCTCAGCCGAGATGGATGCGCTCAACCATCAGGGAGTAAACGGAAACTCGAGCGAGACCTTTTCGGAATCGACGCGAGGAGACTCTGGGGACTCTCAGGGGGTTCCTCAGGCAGATTGGCTCACTGACATGCAGCTGGTTCACCACTTCACGTCTAATACGGCACACACCCTGTCAGAGAATCCGGACTTCATCCACTTGTGGACAACCACTGTGCCGCAGATTGCGTTCGCCAACGTAAGTCGACATCATGACATTTGTCGTTGCCTGCTGACTCGGGCAGGACTTTCTCCTTCACGGCATCCTCGCCGTTTCGGCCATCCACCTTTCACACCTCAACCCTGAGAAGAGGGACGAGTACACAACCATCTCCACACGGCACCAAAACATCGCCCTCAGCAAATTCTCTCCCGGCTTGAACGATATTGGAGAAAACAACGCGGACGCCTACGTCCTCCACGCCATCTGCATCTTCCTTCTAAACACATACTCAATAGCACATCCTCATGGTCCCATCACATCCAAGGACGTGGCTCAGTCCTTCATCTTGCTGCAGGGTGAGGTTTCATCCGTATGATTTCAAAGGGAAGCTAACAGGCGTAGGCATCAAGAGTATCCTTACACTACCTTTCGCTCATCGCTATATCTCCAACGGACCACTAGCACGATGGCTTTATCAGGGCGGTGTCGAGCCGGCCGTGGGTGGAAACTACGCCACCAAGATCGACGATCTCCTCAACCTTACCCGAAGCATGGCTCCATCCGAAGATACGTCGATGTGCCAATCCGCCCTCGAAGGCCTCAAGCTCACCTTTGCCGCCGTCTCAACGCCGTCCCACCGATCCGGCCTCGTCTGGCGATGGGCAGTCTCGCTTCCCCAGTCCTTCCTCGAACTCATGAGCCAGAACCACCCCATGGCTCTCGTTATTCTCATGTACTACGCCGCATTGGTTCACGCCTTTGAGCGAAAGCTATGGTACCTCAATGGATGGGGTGTGAATGTTGCTTCCGCCCTGGACAAGGCGATCCAGGAGCCGTGGAGAGAGTGGATTCAATGGCCGTTGCGGTGTGTCCGTGACGGCGTTGACATCAGGCAAGTCGAGCCTAACCCGCCGCCAGACACAATACCCAAGCCGCTGTCGCCCAGCATCATGCCTCCATTGTTCAAGATGGATCTATTCAGACTGGGCGAGCCTCCACCATGAACAGCCATAGCCTTGAGCCGATCGGTCCAGAGCTCGCTGCGGGCTTCACAAGACCGGAAACGCTCATGTATAACACCTTGAACCATTTACATCGACAGCGGCTAAGACCAACCCAGTTGACGAGAGATCAACGAGCGCCACGAGTTGACGCGCTTTGAGCATGCCGGGCGGGCCAAGAGAACTGCTGACTCGGAAACCCCGAGAAAACACAGCAAGCAGCGTGCGCGACACGGCCTTGTTGATGTGGGCATGGGCCTCGAGTGGTCCCGGGGCAGATCCGGGCTGCTGCCCAGTGTGAACTGATATCGGCTCGAGCGCCGAAGATATCGCGCCTCCGACACTTGTTGAGAACCAATCGTCACATCAGAAACGCCAACGTGCCGCCCCCTACTTGGGTCCATTCACCAAACATAGGACGCCTCGTACCACCGGAGCCTAGTGTATTGCTGGAGCTTTGTCGCACATTCGTGTAAATAACCATACATACATTGGACATATGATGACCGAATAATTATATCCTTGATACCAGATTTTGTGCAGGAGCGCAGACGCGGCCTTCAGGGGCGTCGTGGTGTCTCGATGAATGAGGACCTTGTCTGGGTGCACTCAGATCTTTGAGTGCGCCGGCCGACAACTGGACTGCGAATTAAGTAAAAAAAAAAAAAAAAAAAACACAATGCGACCGGCAGGAATGAGCAAATGATTGACGGTAAGAAGTGTCAAAAAGCAAAAGGATGTCCTCGGAGAGGCTCGAACTCTCGACCTTTGGATGTCTCTATCTGTGACAGAGTCATATTGAGTAATATGAGACCAACGCTCTACCGACTGAGCCACGAAGACTGGGTTGATGAAGGGCGGCAGGTTTGTGGACTATGTTCCTTGCAGCGCATCTTGGCCAATCAGAAGTCTTGCTCGCCCGGTCGCCCCACCCCGTCCACTCGGCCCCCTCCGCGGTTCCATCCCGCACTTTGAATCCTCCCGACCGCCATCCACATGGAACCTCACTGACAACACCCACGATCCTCACTTACAACACCAAGGGCCCCTAATCTCAGCATCACCGCACCCTCTTTATCACTTTGTCTGCAAGGCCCACGACGACACTTACGCGTTTGACAGGACCCCCGGACCCCATCACCCAAAACTCTGTGCTTCTCTTCATCATCAACAACGTCTGCCACCACCACCGCCATCACCCCTCCTCATCCACGAACCCTTCCCTTCTCCCTTTGTTTCCCGCACCTTACCTTACTCCAGCCCCTCGAGCTAGAACCCCAAAGGGCCGCCTACGCACTTACCACATGAAACAAACCTTGCACGCAGCACCCACCAGCAACATGGGATGATATCTCGCGCGCCTGCTCCAAGCCTAATGAACCCCTGTCCCGCAGCCCCTCATCCAGTCTCCTTCTCTGCTCCGTCCCGTGTGCGCCTCCACGAGTGTCGCCCCCGCGCCTAGGCCTCCGTACGCAAAATGCGCCTCGTTGATTATGAGCAATGAGCACGGGAGGGCATTGTCTTTTCCCGGACACACGCCCCATTGGACGAAATTCAAAAACGAATCACCCACCAGAGTATTTCCCGGTTTTCTTCGTAAGGCCAGACCCAGCGACGCCCAGAACCCAGACCTTAGACCCCTCGCCGCCGCACACCATCTTTCCCACAGATTTCGCTTCGACGCCCTCTTGACTCCAACCCAGGCCTCTCGTCCCTCCCCTCCCCAGGCCACATCCATGATGACGCTCCAAGACTGTCCAAACTCCCTCCCATAGCACCGCCCGTAGTCAGTAGACCAAAACGTATATCATCACCCTCAAACCTCACCTCGCCTCTTCCCCCCTCTGCCCTCCTCTCCTCTCTCCATACCCATCATCCACCTCATGATACCTTCAAAATGCCTTCCTACCAAGAAGACGACCTCCAATCAATAGGCCCCGCGCCCTCCTACACCTCCCGCACATCCACCCTCCGCCGCCGCCTCAAGAACCCCTTCCACCGCTCCTCCTCCTACCCGAAACCCCCCGGCCGCGGCGTCTCCCACCACGTCCACCGCGTCACCACAACACTCGGCCACCCCATCAACCGCGCCGCCCACCTCCTCGGCGCCGAGGGCTTCATGCCCTCCACCATGCCCAACGAGTGCGCCAAAGCAGCCCGCATCCTGCACGCCTTCACCGACGACCCCTCCCCGCCCCCGTCCGCCCGCGGCGGCCAGCCCCTCCACCCCCTCGGCCTCTCCACAAAGTCCCTCGTCTCCATCCCCCCCAAGATCCTCGCCTCCTGCGCCGGCCTCGCTATCTTCAACACCCTCCGCGCCGGCGCCTACATGGGCTCCCTCTCCGCCGGCTCCGGCCTCGTCGTCGCCCGCCGCCCCGACGGCTCCTGGTCCCCGCCCTCCTCCTTCGTCATCTCCACCCTCGGCGCGGGTTTCATGATCGGCCTCGACATCTACGACTGCGTCCTCGTCCTCTCCACCGCAGCCCAAGTCGCCGCCTTCACCCACCCGCGCGTCTCCCTCGGCGCAGAGTCCTCCGTCGCCATCGGGCCCCTCGGCACCGGCGGCGCCGTCGAGGCCGCCCTCTCCAAGACCTCGCGGCCCATGTTCTCCTACATCAAGTCCCGCGGCTTCTGGGCCGGTGTGCAGGTCGAGGGGACCATCATCCTCGCGCGGCAGGACTGCAACGCCGTCGCGTACCAGGACCGGCGCACCTCCGCGAAAAAGATCCTCGCCTGCCAGGCCGAGTGGCCTGAGGGCTCGCAGCCGCTGTGGCACGCGCTCATGGCCATGGACGGGTACTACTCCGCCGTGATGGACGCGGACATTGCGCGCGAAGTGGCGCTGCTGGGCCCGCCTGGCGACGGGGAGGTGCCGCAGGGGTACGCGAGCCCGCCGCCCGACGTGGAGGACGACACGCCCGCGCCGGCGTACACGCCGTCCGTGGCGTCGGCGTGGCGGTACGGGAGCGAGGAGGGCGTGACGGAGGCGCCGCTGCCGCCGGTACCACAACTGCCACCGCCGCCACCGCCGCCGCCGCCGGTGCCGGTGCCAGTATACGACAAAGACAGGTTGCGAAGGCTGGTGCAATGATGAACAAAAAGTTTAATCCGTGAATATCTTCATTTTGGGCAGAGGGGAGTTCGTTTCATTCGGGACGGGGTGTTAGACTGTACCTTTCCATAGCGGCAATACCAAATTCCATCAAATTCGCACTCTCAAGATTCCCATCTTCTGCAAGAGGGGGAAACCCAAACATTCGCCTTCGTTCCCCAGGGCCCATCCCTGAGCCGAAACAGCCGCAGCTCACCCTCTCGGTAAGCACCCATATCCTCAAATCATGCGTTTTGCCGTGGGGCGAAGTTAGAGTTCGTCTCTTTCCGCGTGGCCAACGTTGCCGAGACCGGGGATTGTGCCAGCTCTGGATGCGGGCCCAGGGTCAATTCTGCCCGGCCTAGACCCGTGGTGAGTTTTTGGGGTTGAGGGGTATTAGTAAGTGATGGTTTGGGAGGCGGTTCGGAAGCATGCGAGCGTTTTGGTGATGATGGTTTGGCTGGTAGTTGAATGGCCGGTTAAGGTCGAGATTGTTCGTTCTTATTATAGACCTGCTTGGTGATTGGAGGGAGTTGTTGCTCTGCAAGCAAAGACAGTGACAGCTTGTCCGCGTCCTTTTTCGTCCTCGATGACCGGGGTGCTGCTTGTCCTCTGCTTGGCCACCGACGGACTCTAGCTGCTGTGGCCATCCTTCCCCGTACTGGAAGGCAGAGAGCACTTCCGACATGTCTATGAGAGTGAGTAGTCGTGGCCTTGGTAGGTTCGTGCCGCAAGCAGGAGAGTGTGCCGGGAGGCTTGTGTTTGTGTCTGTCCCTGTCATCTCGTGAGTGCATCTACACCATAGTTCGAAGGTCAGTATAGTTTCTATTGGGTTTCCCATGAGCATTGGAAGGGACTGGTGCCAACTTGAAACGGCTCAGATTCCTGCTTAGTTCGCAGGACTCTCGGTTCCCTCTCAGTCCTTCCAAAGCTGGTTGCTTTTATACCCTTTCAAAAGGCCACGCCTGCATCACTGTCATGCACGATGCGGGCTATCATCAGACATGCTTGCTATTATCTCTATCGTAGCTGTCTGTCTCCGCCGTCGTCCGGCTTCGTCCGCCCTCGTCCTCGTCCGTCTCTATCTATGCCAGTCATACACGTGAAACTCTTACAAGTACAAGCCCTCGGGCTCGCTCTCCTGCTTAGTGCGCAGGACTCTCTCCCTAGCAGACCGGAAGTCCGCCATCTGCACGCGCATACGGCGCTCGCGCAGGGCAAGCAGACCGGCCTCGGAGCAAATGGCCTTGATGTCGGCACCGGAGAGATCGTCCTTCTGCGAGATGAACTCCTCGAGGTCGACGTCATCGTTGAGCGACATCTTGGAGGTGTGCAGTGTGAAGATCTTGCGCTTGGTGTTCTGGTCGGGGTTCTCGAAGAGAATCTTTCGGTCGATACGTCCGGGACGGATCAGGGCAGGGTCGAGCGTCTCGATCTTGTTGGTAGCCATGATGACCTTGACGTCACCACGGTCGTCGAAACCGTCGAGCTGGTTCAGAAGCTCCAGCATGGTTCTCTGGACTTCACGCTCACCTCCGGATGTCGAGTCGTAACGCTTCGTGCCAATAGCATCGATCTCGTCAATGAAGACGATGGAGGGGGCGTTCTCGCCGGCAACCTAGTGACGTTAGTAATATGACAGTAGCAGAGAGTGATTGTGCGTACCTGGAAGAGTTGGCGAACGAGACGGGGACCGTCACCGAGGTACTTCTGGATGAGCTCACTTCCGACTATACGCAGGAAGGTGGCCGAAGTCTGGTTGGCAACTGCCTTGGCGAGCAGGGTCTTTCCGGTACCGGGAGCACCGTAGAGAATGACACCCTTGGGCGGCTTGATACCCATCTCCTCGTAGAGCTCGGGGTGGAGCAAGGGCAACTCGACCGACTCTCTGACTTCCTGGATCTGTGTCTCCAGACCACCAATATCGGCGTATGACTCTGTGGGTGCCTTGTCCAGCTTCATGACGCTGACGAGAGGGTCGGCGTCGTCGGTCAAGACACCAACGATGCTGACGCTCTTATGGTGAAGCAGCACACTGGCACCAGGCTCGAGCAGATCCTTGTCGACGAAGCTCATGATGCTAACATAGTACTCGGGACCAGTAGTACTGCTCACGATGGCGTGGTCGTCATCAATCATCTCCTCGAGCGTGCCGACACCCATTGGGCTACCACGCATGTCATCGACCCGACCGCGCTCATCGGCGAGACGGTCGACATCGCCTTCGGGGCCGACGGCAGCTCCTTCCTTAGCCGCCTTGGCCTTGCGGAGGCGCTCCTGGTTCTCGACGTACTCCTCCTCGAGGATGAGATGGTCGTGGATTCGTTGCATTCGCAGCAAGCGGAGCTTGCATCTGCTCGTAGGGAAGACGGCCGGGAGCTTGGCCGCAGCGCTGGTGCCGGCAGCCTTTCTCTTCTTGCGGCCGACTCTGGTGGTAGGGCGTGGGGGAGGCTCGTACTTGGGCTTCTCCTTCTGTAGAGATGCCAGTTAGATTGATAATTGATGATCGGATTCACTTCAACGTACCTTCTTGTCCTTGTCGTCCTTGCCGTCGCCTCCCCCGCCCATTCCACTCTGGTTCTGTCCCATGGCGTCTCTCTAGCTGTCGTCCGTCGTCTCTGTGGCTCTTGTGTGTGTCGTGTGTGAGTAAACAGCAAAAAATGGACGGCGTGGTGGTGGTGGTGGTGGGAGCTCGTGATGATGATGGAGTTGGGTGGATGCGAGCGACCAGGCCAGGGTAGAGGTCGACGAGGTGCGAGGCTGCTACTGCTTGCGTCTTGCGTAGGTAAGCACGTTGGTGGCCGTACCTGCCTCGTACCTTCCTTGAGCACAGACCCTCCACGGCAGGCGCCAGAGGAACGCGCAGCTTCCCTCCCTCGGGCTATCCCTTTTCCGGAAAGAACGCTCCAAAATCACGTGCCCTCCCACACTGATTAGTCACCTCCAAGGTTAGAGGTAGGTGCGACCCGATGCTCCGTCCCTCGGCGCCGGCTTCTCCACTTTTAGGGCGGCCGGCACCCAGAACACGGAAGCTGAACGAAGCTTACTCTACTATGTAGACCTGCCCATTTATCTCAATTCTTACACCCTGTGGTGGTCATTCGACAGATCTACAAGCTGCTGACTCTTGTGACTCGTCCTCGTCATTCTTTTTGTCCTCATTGTCCTTGGTCTTGTCGTCCATCATCGTCGTCCGTCGTCGTCGTCCGTCGTCGTCGTCCGTCGTCGTCGTCCCTCTTCGTCTTCGTTGCTGTCCTTGTCGCTCTTGTTGTCCTTACTCTTGTCGTCCTTTATCGTCTGTTATTATCTCCTCTATATTTACTTCTTCCTGCTACCTACCCTTCCCTTTATCTACCTCACTATCTACTCACTTCACCACCTACCTACTTCTCCTTTTGCTTACCTCTTCCTTACCTACCTTAATCTTATCACCTCCTCAATATTTACGCAGAATCGTGACGGCACGATATTTAATCCAAAAAGCCTCTGCACGCCTTGTACATCCCCTGTAATATCTCATTTGACGCTGGAGTCCGCCATTCAAGCCGGCCTGCCCGGTTCTGAACCTTTCGGTAACTCCGTGCTTGCCATCGTGGTTTAGCATTCTTGCATCAGGGCAACTAACCCAGCGAATCGTTTTGCGCCTCCACTCCCGGAGCCTCGCCACTGGAGCGTCGATGAGCTCGCGTGACGTCGAAGGGGTACAAATGAAGCATTTCCTTTCCCTCAAGGTTACGGAAGATAGATCCACAAGAGTCACGCGGTAAACAAGGTTTCATGAACTGACCGTAAGACTTGCAAATCCCGAATAAATATCCAGCACCTCTTTAGCTAGAACTTCAAATTAGTTGACGATAAAAGACCGCCTGTGTACCATACCTTACTTCTTCTGACTTTCCACATCGGACTGATCCTCGTCACTCACAACACCATGTCTCGTCAAGGATATCGAACCGCACAATGGGAAGGACAACCCCCTCCGATTGAGCAGCGTCCGTGGTGGAACGTCCGACATCCAACTGCAGAGAAGTCCCCCCACGGTCACGACAAAGACAAACCCTTCCCGTGGATGATTTCCTCCAATCATGTGGCCCCAGGCTTTGATCACCCATTCAAGCAAGAGAACTCGCCGTGGTGTCTGCTTCTCAGATTCATGCTGATGGACCTTCAACATCAGATGATGCATGGTATAAGCCTTCGGCCATGGGCCGAGCATCCCGTCCCACAAACCAAAGCAGCCCTCCAACGCCCTTCTGATATTGCTCCCTATGGCAAGCAACAGCAGAGATGGGGCCGCCGGTTTCTATTTTCACCACCGACCTCCAGCCAATCTCACGAAAGCAACGGGAAATGGCTGGTTGTTGCTTATCTCTGGGGGGAGAGCGAGGAGTGGCTAGACACCGTGGATATAGGGTGACTCGTAGCGTCTTCGCATTGTATTTGGTAAGAAAATGCAAGTTCCAACGGTAAAACAAGGTTGACTGACATTTCCAGCCACAAGTTTCATGAAAGGTTGCTTGACTCCCCCTCAGGTACCAAACATCGTCAGGATTGGTACAAGATGTACGAATTTCGGCGCATATCGGCCGGACATTCGATCACGCTAGTCGATCTCCTGCGTACAAAACCAAAGTCTTATGCGGAGAAGAGGGAACAGGTCGGCGCAGAACCTAGAATTTTCTCCGATCAACTCAGAGCGTACATTAACGCATTCTGCGACATTCTGGATAGCGGCGGAAGGCAAAAGCCTAGTTCAACCGCCCAAAAGCTACCTGAAAGAGAAGCCGAAGTACATGCTGAGGCTGTGTGTCAAGGTAAGATCCCTCATGAAAGGGAAGTTGAGGGACATATTGAAGCCGTTAGTCCTAATTAAGCATGATCTGAAAAGCGCGTTAAGGGAGATATTCTCAGTTTCACGTTTGCGATTGGGGTCACTCCAAGATATTAGCCAGTCATGTACAACGATGAACTCTTGTGGTAGCTTCGCAAGGCTGACGTTGGTGGGATTTATTAAAGCTTCAATTATGCTACGAGGTATGTAGTACGCGTAAAAGCGCTTCTTAAAGAGCTGGCAAAGGCATCGCAAGACCATTAGCAAACTCTCGTAGATCCAGTGAATAATCTTAAAAAATTGTTTGCTACTTTCTTACAGATTCATACCTTATGCTACGATTGCTGGGCGAATCCGGGTCTACAGCCCCTTCATACGTTACCACTCCATTCTCGTTGATATTGTATCATGCCTCTGGAAACTACTACATCCACTCGCTGAATTTCTCTTTTAAGTTGCAAGAAGAAGTCTCGTATTATCAAAGCTGATAGATTGAAGTAAACAATCCACAAGGTTGTCGGCTACATTACTGTACAGGTTCCACCTCTAGCCTTAGGCTGGCTTTCAAGCTTCTCAACCACGACGGCCTCGTCTTCAAAAAACTCTTTCATGTGAACTTCATCGGCTGTCGGAGCGATGGACTTATCCTCAGAAGACTCATTGACAGGAGCCTCGTCAACTATCACATATGACGAGTCTCTCGCACACGGACACGACCCCGGCCGCTGTCGCTTCTCATTAAGAACCTGGGATTCATTCATCCTCAACTGCCTGAGGTTTTGGTTTATTGATGCAAGGTTTCCCGTCAATGTCGCCGTCGTAAAGGCCCCGTAATCTTCGTCATCAACTGGCTCATCGACAACATCACGCGACTTGCCATCTTTGGATACCTTCTTCTGGTAGACCAGGTCCCAGTGATGAAGAATGAGGTTATCTGGGCCCTTTTCTTCGACCCGGTGGTGAACATCGTGGCTGGGACTAAGATTAGCCGAGTTCCCTACGCGTCGGATTAGAGATGCGGACGGGAGTGGCTCACCGTATGATTGGGGAGAAGGCTGCCAGGCGTCTGATATCGACGCTGTCTACCCACTCTTGGCTCTCTCCCCATACGTAGGCAGCTATAAGCCAACTACCAACGCATTCGGGATTGCCAACGCAAAACATGCCGTCAGACTTTTGGGGTGCTACGTCTGCGAACACAGTTCGGCGGACCCATTTCTGGTTAGCCTTGTTTGTGGGACTGTTCAGAGGCTGCCGTGTTAACGGTTCTGGCACTAGATGATCCTCCTCGTCGTCCCACGATTGTAAAGTGCCGTCGGTCTTTTCCTGATGCGGGTCAATCAACATTGACACGAGTAAGAGACGCCAAGGTGAGGCCGCTGGTCGGGTCTGGAAGCCCGGGGCGACGTGGAAGGACGAGACTTTCCATTTGAAAGGACCCTCTGTGTTCTCTTTGATGTCGGAATCTAGGATGTCCCAGTATGGAAGATGATTTGAGGGAGGAGGACTGCGGCCTTCACCCTCCACGGTCTGAGTTGCTGAACGAGGCATGCTGGCGATGATGATACTAGAGGAGAATGTTGAATGAATTTGGGAGGTACCGGAAAGTGATCCGTCACAGCTGCTTAAATATTGAATAATAAGCCACCTGGGTCATGGGGTTACAAACTTCGCAGCAGACCACAATGGTGGGTTTGAATTTTCAGCCCACACACGGTCTCCGACAGCCTCAACCGTCAATATTTGGCCACACAACCTTGGGGCGAGCGGCAATTGAACCAAGGTTAGAATTAAGTGAAGCCATAAATGCAGGAAGCTCATCAAGGAAATATGCGGGCATCTTGATCAAAACAGTTGGAAGGGCATCACCCAGGTACATCACATATTTGTAAGTATACGGCGTCGGGGTTAAACTTTAGCAGCCGACACAAACACATGCGGGCATTCTTCAACGTCCATGATATCGCAGCTAGATCAGAGGAAGAAATTCTCTCAATAGAAAGTTCGAACGATTGGGGCCGTGGGGACTTTGTACATTGAGGAGAGATAAGTACTGTAATTACAACACCCATACTGGCACTCAAAATTTGGTCTTGCCACTTGCTGTGGTAGTATTCGAGGTTCCTAAATCAGTTACTTGGCATAGATATCTTAGAGAAAATAACTGAACTTCCATCGCAGATCTTCTTCTCAGTTATTCCTGTTGTGTTTGTGATCTCTTATTGTTTTCCCTGTCCCTTTGTCCCTGGGATCCTTATTGTCACTTCTTTCATCTAGGATTTGGGAGTCTTCATGTAACAAGACAAAGCAGAAAATTGCTCTCATTTGACATGTCAATCTTCACTGATTCGTTAAATATAGCAGCCCAATCACCATCAACCATCAGTACTCAGCTCTGTGCAGCACATAATAATTGGCTGCAATAAGACGTTCAAACATGACAGCACCAGTGACATATGCTCCAGAACCCCTCCGAACCCCACAGACCCGTTCCAGGTCTTCCCCTCCAGCGGGTGCAAGGGCGCTAATGTTAGTGCCGGTCCGCACGGACCATTCCAGCATTATCTTTCTGAGGGGCACGTCCGCCCTCCATCTTTCCACCTCCCGCTTTGCAGAGACCAGACCCAAACACTTCAGTGCGCCTCACTTGACCTCACCACCTTTTAACTGCGAATCCCCACGAAGAGTCTTTGAGGGAAGACATCTAGCACGACGACAGGTGTGAGAGACAGCATCAATACCAGCAACAGCAGTTCAAATACCCAATTCCATCATCAGATAACTAAGCCACCCACCATGTCGAGCCCGAAGGAGAGGCGAATCCTCAAGGAGCTGAGCGACATCAGGAGCGACCAGGATAACTCTGGCGTCTTCGCCCAGCCGATTCAGGAGAACAACCTGTTGCACCTGAAGGGCACCTTCCCCGCGCCCCCCGACACCCCCTACGCTGGCGGCCAGTACACGGTCGACATCAAGATCCCAGACAGCTACCCGTTCAAGTCGCCCATCATCAAGTTCGACACCAAGATCTGGCACCCCAACGTCAGCTCCCAAACCGTATATCTTCCCTCCCCTTCCCTTCGTGGCGTCAGCTAACCAAATTCCCCCACCAGGGCGCAATCTGCCTCGACACCCTCGGCTCCGGCTGGTCCCCCGTCCAGACGATCAAGACAGCCCTCCTCTCCCTCCGCATGCTCCTCGAGTTCCCGAACCCCAAAGACCCGCAAGACGCCGAGGTCGCCAAGATGATGCTCGAGAACCCCGAGGCCTTCGCGAAGAAGGCGCACGAGTGGGCCGTCCTGCACGCAGGCGCGCCCTCGAAGGACTTTGACACGACAAAGTACCGCCAGGAGGCGGCCGTAACCAAGGGCGACGACTCCCAAAGGTGGGTTTGCTTGATGTTTGAGCAGAATGGAACATCCGACTGACAGTGGAAAACACAGGTACATGGGCTACAACAAGGACCTCGTCGACCGCTTCGTGAACATGGGCTTCGAAGTCGACGCCGTCGTCGAGGCCTTCGTCTTCGTGGGTATCGACCGCAACGGCGGGGAGGACTACGAGCTGGAGGAAGCATATATGGGCGATATCACGGCTCGGCTCCTCGGCGAGCAATGATCCCCGTGATCCGAAAACAGCGACATCACTTTGCATCATCACAGATGGGGAAGCATCACAATGTGAAATGGAACATGAGGGAGAGAGGGGGATTGCATCGAACAGGGAGTCACACTTAACATTATAGAATCAGGGCGGGTCGGGCATCGAACATGGCTGGCGAGCGGACGGGGAAGAGGCCGGATCTTGCTTTTTTTTCACGCACAAGAGGGGAGAGGACTGTGCCGCAACGCATGGACTCGGCATACATATTCTTTTCTTACGAGGCTGCCGGACTTTGTGTCTTCCCAAACCTCATGGCGGCACGACAAACACGCAGCTTCCGTGGCATGCGTTTCGAAGGGCGGCCCCGGGGGTTAGGCGGGAATTAGGCCAACGGCCGGAGCACTCTCCCTCCATCAGACATTGGCTAAAAGTCATCAGAGACTTTTGTTTCTTACCTGCATCACGGATATGGCGTTAAAGGAGGAGGGAGTTTACAGTTGGAACCGCATGGGGACACTCTTACAGTCGTCTTTTAGTTTCTCGCTTCTCCAAATTTCAAGCTTCAAAAGTAGAGCACTCCCTTTTCATCGTGTAAAATGCATCAAGCCAATGCATGGAATGTTGCATCCAGCGCTTCCAAGCTGCAGGTCACGTTCCCCGATTACGGATCCCTCACAATGTGAAAGGTCAGGCAAGGCTGTCTGAGGTGTCTGCCAAATGCCTGCATCCATTGATCCGGCGTCTGCTCGCCCCATATTTCTACCTGCGTCGGGCCGGCCCAGGCGTGATTGTTTCCCCTCGGGGTTCGGAGACGGACGACCCCTGGCACTCCCCTCCACCCCCGGTATGGGGAGTCGTACGACGGGACGAATTAGATGCGGGAGGGGTGCTGTTTTGTGTAGCAGTCGGCAAGGACGCCAAAGCAGCAAAATATATAAGGCACTTCCACGATATACGGCGCACGCGAGGAACAAAAACCGGGGCATTTTCTCTAATTCTTTCTTGAATTTCCCTCCCTGCCCAGCGTTGCCGAATTCCAGTCTATCGAGTTTCATGGTGGGGGAAGCGGCGCGGCGGCAAACATCTCGACGACGTTACACACATACGACACACGATGCAGGAAAATCGCCTCGTTTCCTCCACGCCCGGATGAGCGCGCCTTTGGGCACCGCGTCGGCGGACTGCTACCACGCTTCAAACAGGTCTCTTTAACATGTTACATACACAGGTTCACTTAGTATTTTCCTCCTCTTCTTTACGGTTTCGTCCCACGCAGGAGGTGATGGTTTCATCGAGAGTTCTGAACGTCGAGCGCGCGATTTACAAGAGGTCGCGGCGGACGAACTCGTCGTACAGGGCCTTGCCGAGGCCGGCGGGGGAGGGCTCGACGATGACGCCGGCGGACTTGAGGGCGGAGATCTTGGAGTCGGCACCGCCCTTGCCGCCGGAGACGATGGCACCGGCGTGACCCATGCGGCGGCCGGGGGGCGCGGAGATACCGGCGATGAAGGAGACGACGGGCTTGCCGCCGTTGACGGTGTTGTTGGCGCGCAGGAAGTCGGCGGCGTCCTCCTCGGCGGAACCACCGATCTCGCCGATCATGATAATGCCGTCCGTCTCCTCGTCCTTGAGGAAGACGTTGAGGCAGTCGATGAAGTTGGTGCCGGAGAAGGGGTCACCGCCGATGCCGACGACGAGGGACTGGCCGAGGCCGGCCTGGGTGGTCTGGTTGACGGCCTCGTAGGTCAGGGTGCCGGAGCGGGAGACGATACCGATGCGGCCGCGCTTGTGGATGAAGCCGGGCATGATGCCGATCTTGCACTGGCCGGGGGCGATGATGCCGGGGCAGTTGGGGCCGACGAGGCGGGTCTTGGATTGCGTCTTGAGCATGTTGGTGATGCGGACCATGTCTGTCGAGGTGAGTGTGAGCTTATCGGAGCTTGCAAGTGGGGAAGCTTCGGTGTGGGATGTGAGGTGAGTATCACGACGTACCATGCTGGGGGATACCCTCAGTAATGCAGACGACGAGGGGGATCTCGGCGGCGATGGCCTCCTCGATACCGGCGGCGGCCAGAGGGGGGCTGTGTGCTGGGGTGTCAACTCGGATCTCTTGATATGTTCAAGCAAGCTTCTTTCGCGACGTGATGACGTACGGGACGAAGATGGCAGTGGCAGTAGCGCCAGTCTCCTTGACGGCCTCGCTGACGTTGCCGAAGACGGGGAGACCGAGATGCTCCTGGCCGGCCTTCTTGGGGTTCGTTCCACCGACGACCTTGGTGCCTACACGGGTGGGGGAGAAAAGATATCAGCCTCGGAGATTGTCTTTATAGACGCGCGGGATGCGCAATTGCGGTTCGGAAATAGCATCGCGTACCGTAGTCGATGGCCTGTTGCGCGTGGAAGCTATCGCGAGGGAGATAAGTGTTAGCCAGCTTGCCCACACCATTGCTGTTGCGTCCTGATATCGCCAGCCGGCCGAGCCAGGGGCGGCGGGCGTCGGACAAAGATAACACCACTTACGTTCCCTGCTTGCCGGTGAAGCCCTGGAAGAGGACCTTGGTCTCGCCGTTGATGCGCAGGTTGTCGATGGTCTTGGTGTAAGGGCCGGCGGCGGCGCTGTAGGACCGTCTGGCGGCCTGGTTCAGCAGCTTGCCTGCCGGGCGCATCTGTCTCGAGAAGGACTGCATGCTGGGCGTCTGTGTGGTTGCGTGTGGGAAGTGCGTTTAAAGGAGAAGGAAAGGATGCGCAACACAAAACGGTGTGGCGCAATTAAAGAGACCGAGTCGGTGGGGGGGCGGTGGGAGAACGGAGGATGGAGGGGAGAGTGGCCGAGGAGAGCGAGATGCTGCAAAGTTGGAGTATCTCGGTAAGGTAGGTATCGTAAAAAGAGACAGGACAGGAGGAGCTGCAGCAATTCACGTCACTTTCCGAAAAGAAGGGTCGAACTG